ATTTTTTCTAACTTTTAGTTTGTCTAAGAGAGAAGAGAGTGAAGAGAACTAGTCTCTTTGGCGACGGGACCACTTTATTATACAGTAAGGTATCGAGTGCAAACTAAGTATATACAGACACACATGCATAATAAGTGACAGACGTACTCTGATAACAATACATTACCAAATTACCATTATACATTTTGTTGTGTTGTGAACTAATTTGAACATTTATCTTTTGAAGAATGATGTCCACTGTAGAGTATTAAAAGTTCGCTTAGTTTTTTTATTTGCTTTAGAATATTGATTAAAACTATTATTTACGGATTTTATCGCGTTTAATTACTTTAATTTATTTTTATTATTATCCCGACGTTTCGGGTGCTTTACAGCACCCATGGTCACGGGGGGGGACTGAGATGTTTGACGTCCCAATGTCATAGTTAGTCCGGCTACCTTCAGTTTTTTTAATATTAATTTTTGGTCCGATTTACGCAAAACGAGCTTATAGTATCATGAAGTCTTGCAGTGGTATGCTTGGGTTTGGGTTTAATTTTGTTAATTATAGGATCCCAAGCAGATGGTAGCACCCAACCATCTTCTCTATTGAAATTTGGATGTTTTTTAATTTCAATAGCCTCGCGTATCATCCTTGGTAGGAATCGGTGTTCTTTTGCGAGAATTTGTGGTTTATCAAATCTAATGTAATGGTGGGGACGATCTTGAACATGTTCGCAGACTGCAGACAGAATTAAACGAAATAAAATCCGTAAATAATAGTTTTATTCAATGTGTAGCGTTCGCGTAAATTTAAGAAATCATTATGCTTTAGAATAATTTAAAAATACCTTACAATCCTTTAAAGAACGCGAAATTTGAGCTTTTAGGTTTAATGAAAACTTCAAAGAAATTATCCGGATTAAGAGAAGTGGAATCGCGTATAAAAAGCCGCCATTGTTGCGGTTCATGCGATGAAGAACTTTTAAGGTCGTAGCTCTAGAGATTTAGATTAGGCTGAAGCTTTTATTAAAAGAAATCATAAACAAGGGTGTTGGTATAATAACTGCATGCCCAGTGGTCATAGTCACACTGTTGATTCTAAATTTGAAAAAAAAACATCCGCACAAATATTGCAAATTTTATGATAAATTATGACCGTTAGAAGTCCATTTTAAAAATAAACGTCACAACCATACGGAAAATCTAAAAGTAGAAAAATTAAAAATTATTATAAATAAAATAAGAACATCATCAATTTATACGAAGTCAATTAAATACACATTATTATGGAACTCAAAAACTACTAGTGTCAGATCAAGATCAAATTTATATGGAACCACACGAGAAGCGCCAGCTTTCAAATAAAAACAAATCGGTCTACCCAGAAAAAAGTTCTGAAGTAACGCACATAAAAAGACATACAGTCGAATTGAATACCTCCTCCTTTTTGAAGTCGGTTAAAAACTGAGTAGAGATATACGTCCAACAGTGGACTGTTAAATAATTGTGGAGTTCACTTGTGTAGGTACCATCCTATCTCGGTTTCTGCTGCCAAAACAGCATCCTCAGGGCTGGCATCGTAATATGTAGTACCTATCTTTTTTTCAAATTGGCTGCAGGTGTACATGGTTTGCAGTAACCATTTAACTTTAGGTGAACATTTAGCACGTGTGTGACGAGTATACCCAGCTATGTTATGGTTGTAGCACGAATGGGCCGGTTCAACCGGGGAAGGACCAAGCTCTCACAGATACCATTGTAAAATGGCAATGCTGCTGCCTTTCGTATGGTAAGTGTTGATAATTGGATACCCTTTATACCATCAGGTGGACTGTGTGCTCGTTTGTCACTCCCATTCTATAAAAAATACTGTGGACTGATTACCTTCGAGTGTTTAATACAATTTAACTGCTGTATTACTTATTTTACTTTATCAAGGCCTTAAAATAAGTTGTTTTAAGACGGTCTTAGTAATGACTATTTGGCTTAATTTATAACTCTCCGAAAAATAAATTGTCGCAACTCTGTTTGACAATAGAAAATAAATATTTTCATTATCTAGGTATGTCATCTTTCACGCAATTCAAAGTTCTCTATGTCCTGATGGAATTAAAACTCGGTTGGAATATTGCACTTAATAACCTAGCCTCTAGTCTCATTTTGAAATGACCTTACGTTCAGTTTTTAACACATATTTTTTCACAGACGTGGAAGTAATCAAACTACCAGTAAAATTTTATTTGTTTTACAAAATACTATACATACGTAAAATATATATACATGCATATATACATGTACAAGTTCATTCACACCAAAGTCGTCACTGTTAGCGCAAAGACAGTTTGATATTATTGACTGATCGGCTACGCTGCAAGTTTATTTTGGCTGCAAAGGGTCATCTTGATCGGGGTAGGATCACGCTCCTACAAAATACCAACGCGAAACAGCAGAAATTATTCTACTAAGTGAGAGATACAAGTGTCGTAGTTTTCTTGCTAATAATTTACCGTTTTATTATGTGCTGTTGATTTACTATAGTAATTTTTTTTGTATTAGTGGTGGTTTTAACATCTGTAAATTAGTAAGTGTTTTTAGTTGTATCGTTTTTTGCAATTTTTTGTTGCAGAAACATGATGAAGGACGAACCTCCCGATCCTGGAAGGGTTTGCAATGGTTCCATTTCTTTACACTTTACTTATTAAAAATGTAGAACTACTACTGTAGGGAGATAAGTCACTCGCGTCCGTAGTCTTCGACCACCTTAATGTTGCTGTGTTTCGTATGGTGAGTGTAGAGAACCAGGGACCCTTTTTACTAGAATCGTGGCATTCTACCTGGTCCTCAGGGGTGACAATGCATTTTCAATCTTAATTGAGGGTAAATGCCTATGGGCCACAGCATCCACTTACCATCAGGTGGCATGTGTGCTCGTTTGTCACCCAATGCTATAAAAAAATAAAAAGTAGTATAAAATAGCAGGAGGTATTGAGCCGATTTCAACCTTAGCAACATATGTCCATATATTATTAATAGTTACCGTTATAGCCTATCAAATTCCACTGCTGAACAAAGACTCCATAAAATGCCTCGGGGGCTATTGGCGGAGTTGCCCTGTTAGGGAAGCGGGTTGGTAACTGTAGTGTTTATTTTATAGACGTTATTAGTAAGACGCTGTTCCTGGTTTTGCCTCTGTCACCTCTTACGACACCCACAGCACGACACGTTGATAATATTTTCCCAAATCAAATTAAAGTCAGGCAAATCCCGAGCGGTCGCATGCGACCGCACCCACCCACAGCAATTAAAACCATTAAAACTTATATTTAGAGACTACTTTTCTGTGAAGAAATTTGGCATTATAAAATATATTACTCGAAAAATATTTACGTAAAAAGATAAATTATATTCACACAAAAACTTTCATTACAATTTTATAATAAAACACTATACTAAAACACTAACAAAACACTAGAAGATCCAAAAATCAACACAATAACATTCACGCGAAAATGGCGTACGTAATGAACGTAGATTATAAATAAATATCCATAGGATAACTGTTTTTTTATTATAGATAGAAATTTTTATATTGATTCTATAATGCCAAACTTCTTCATAGAAAAGTAGTCTCTAAATATAAGTCTTAATGGTTTAAAGTGCTGTGGGTGTGCGCGGTCGAATCCGACCGCTTGAATTTTGACAGAATAACGCCGCAATCGAATTCGACCGCTAAGAGATTGAAGGGCTTTGGGAGAAGAAGGTATTCTTTATTCATCTTCAGCTACGCCACCATTACCTATCAGGTGGATTAGTAAGCAAACGCTGACTTAAATTAATTGAAAATTATTACTAAATCTATTTTCTAGGCATTTAACACCGTGCCTGAACGATTTATTAAGATCTTTTTGCCATATCCGATACTATTGAGAGATGACTCTGGACCAATAATCACCTCTTACAACCCTCAACGGACGAAATGGTTGAATTTCTCCAACAGCGCCACCGCCCAACAATTTTTATTTAATTGCTGTTTATTACTATAAAAGGATTTTGAATTCATTAAAATACTGAGGAAATATTCAATATTTATTTTTTCTAAATCGTTTTTGAAACATACACATTGTGATTAAACACAATTTATATCATCTAAGATCACAATAAAGTTATATCTAGTGTGTTACCCGCGCATCTCTACATATACACATCTATCTTCTACGTCTACACATACCAAACCCAATTAAAGTGAAGTATGCAATTATTAAAAATGTCATTGGAATAATTCAGTATAGTGATATCAGTCTAAAATACGTAATAACTTATATTTCCCATGATAATGGGACAATTATACTTGTAAGATTGCATTCAATATTACATAATTGCTGTAGCGAGAAATCCTCTCTTTACATATTGGGTATATTATCAATTTTAAGTGTAATATTTTGTAAAATATAAATAAGTTTCATTTTAATTATTGTATTATGTTAAAAGTCTTTCTTTTTTAATTTTATATTCTTTTTTGTGCTCTACGTTTAAATATTATTTTTAACTTTAATATTGTAACTATTCATATGGTAAAATTTATATTTCTTTTAGGATCTCACTATACCATATTTCCAAAAAATTTGTAAATGACAAAATATTGCCATTCAAAAATCCTTACTAGAACCAACTACGTAATTAGTGCCATTATATTTACAATAAATAAACGCTTAATGGTCTAATATATACAACCAAGTCTCATCATTCTCCTCAGTAATAAATTAAAAAGTTTTGTTAAGTACACAAAGTTACGTTGATGTTTTGAAATGAATATTTTTTATTTAACTACAACACCAAGTTATTAATATAAAGACTAAAATTGTAAGGAATGACTAATAGTGAGCGTAGGATCTGTTTTAACATTAAACCATCAATTTCAATTAAGTTTTATCTTATTAAATTCTAACAATTCTCTCGTTTATTTCAAATTTAAGCACATCGTTATAATTACAACACAGACATAGGTACTTGTTTGTTATTCAAACGATTGAATCATTGGGTGTTTCAGCCTTAGACAACAACGGTACACTGCTATAATCTTTAAGACTTTCGCTGCCCTTCTTAGCACCATTATCGAAGGAACTTGTCGTAGGCAGCTTCGCAATCCAATTATTATTTCCTACCTTATTTAATTTGCAATTTCCAGTTGAATTCATTTGACAGTCCTTAAGTTTCACTTTGGGTTGGCCACTTTGACTGACAGAATTACGATTAAGAGAGTTAACGTTGAGGGCTATTGAATTCGATGAGTTTGATTTATCTACGCTATCATCTTGATCCGACACTCCATTAGTAAAAGGTTCTGCGGGATCCGAAAGCTGCCTTTGCATTTTAATGACTTGCAAAAACGGTTGGACCTCCTTTTCCAATTTTTTGAGGTCATTTGTTTTCTGTTGTTGAAATACTGCCGATCCTCGTCTACTAGACGATCTAGAGCCTTGGTCTAACCGCTGTTTAAATGGCGTTAGATGTGACAGTGAACCACTTTCCTTTGATTGAATTTGAAGCTTCGCCAATGATGGTTTCTCCTTAGGCGGAGCGTTTGGATCGATAATTTCACCTAATAACCAATATGTGACTAGAATTCCTTTACCCTGTAAAAACAACAAACATTTTACAGAAAAGGAAACAAAGATTACAATTAAGTAATAAACTAAATATTTTTTCATAAAATACCTTCATGGCAACCTCTCCTCTGCACTCTAGATGGAATGTTCCGAAAGTATCTAGCAGAGCTTTTGTTGTTGGTGATACGTGTATTTTTAGGGCTTCTCCGTTTGACTCCATTCGCGATGCTGTATTCACTGTATCACCAAACAAGCAATACCTTGGCATTTTCAATCCAACTACCCCCGCAACACAGGGACCTGTTAATATAATCCATAATATATAATTTCCATATATAAATTATGCATTGATATTTTGACACGGACAATAAATGAGCCAGTATATATATAAAGTAAAGTATAAATATAGACTGTGAGGCATAATATGATGTTCAGATTAAGCCTTGGATACACTTGGGGACAAAAGGAGCGGCATGTTGCGCAACATGTCGCTCAACAACTACGTCGAATGTCCTGAGACATATGTCGTGGAACATTTTGCAGGCCACAGTAGTCAATGTTTATAGAAATGTTGCCTGAGGAGGTTGTGGAAATTAGTACTGCGTACGTAGTACTTACTTCGGGAGAGAAACGTAAGCGAAACAGAAGATGGTGGATGCGGAATTTCTTACTACAATGAGAAGAAATAAGAATTAATACTTTAAGTGATCTCCGAATGTCTGATGGGTCTTTTGTGAATTTTACTCGAATGTCAATATTTGATTCTGAAATTGACGCTTGACATGTGCACTCGCTCTCGGAGCGGGAACATGCAACATATCCCGCGTCACGTAAAATGTTGTGGGCCATGTTGTGTCACTGTGCAACGTTGCATCGCCACGTAGATTGAGTATTCCGCGTCATGTAGCGGGATAAAATGTCCCCTAGTGTTTGTGGGGCTTTATCTTCATCATCAGATCGCATTTTTGTTTAAATTTATGTGTCCATGGCCTGCAGAAATCTTCATCAAAAGAACTGTTAGTTCATTTGTCATTGTAATAATTTAAAAAAGTTTATGTAAAACTGCATATTGAGAAATTTTCATTAAAGCTGATAGAACTTGTGTTTATACAATACTGACATTTGCATAAATCGCATTAAATACGTTTATTTATCAGAATACGTTTACTTATCGTTAAGAGGATTGTAAAGTGTCGATACGCGGCGTGAGTAGGTTTTTTCAAAAATGCTATTTGTTTCAAACTGCTCGCTCCATGTCGCTGCATCGTGCGATAGAGAGAGTTGCCAGAAGTAGAAGAGTAGAATAGAAGTCTTGGAAGTTTTTGAAACATTGTTTCGGGCGATAACGTTTTAACTCCCCTAAACCTATACGAAATGATAATTTTGTTCTGATTAAATTCAGTACACCTTAATCTATGTTTGTACGTTTTTCTTTTTATTTATTTATTTATTTATTTATTTATTTTATTCTTTATTGCACCAAAGATTTTGTACAAAAGGCGAGCTTAATGCTATATGGCATTCTCTACCAGCTAACCTTGGGTAGAACAGAGAGTGAGTTATGGGCAGTAAAGATGTCATGATCTCATTCAATTCAAAATGTACATGCTACACATACATATAATAGATATATACACATATATATTATATACACTTACACACACATACATATGTATATACATATATATATACATATATACATACACATATACATATATAAATATATATCTCCATAAATTTATATACAAATAACTATAAACATATAAAGTAAGTGGACTCAAATTTGTTGGTTACGGATATATTCGTATAGTTTTCTTTTAAACACGTTTTTAGCAGGTATTATGCGCAGGTCAACAGGCAATTTGTTCCAGAGGGAGATGGAAGTTAATGTGAAAGAATTTGACATAAACCCAGAATGGTGGAGAGGAGTAGACAGTAATAAATTGTGTGAAGACCGGAGATTGAGAGAATGAGTGTCACTACGGAATTGGAATCTTTCTTTTAGGTAAAGGGGTGAGGAAGAATCATTAAGAACTGAAAACAGAGAGGACAGCATTCGAAAATCTCTGCGCTGGCGTATAGTCAACCACTTTAATTGGGAGCGAAATTCTGATACGTGATCGTATTTGCGCAGACCAAAGATGAATCGTATGCAGTTGTTAAGTAACCTGTCCAACCTGCTTAGCAGCTCCTGAGAGATATTAGAAAGACAAACATCGGCATAGTCAAATAATGGAAGAATTAGTGATTGGATGAGTAGAAGCTTAGTTGAAGGAGGCAGAAAGAACTTAAGACGATAGATGGAACGAAGTATGCCTGTGACTTTACGACAAATCTCGGACACCTGTAACCTCCAACTAAGGGTCGAGTCAATAATTAAACCCAGATCCTTGACACTAGTGCGGAAAGGAATTACACAGTTTTCATAGCAAATGGATGGTAGATCAGGTATGTTAAGTTGTGACACCAATCGACGACTACCAATGATAATAGCCTGGCATTTACTAGGATTTACCGTTATACCAAATCGCTGTGACCAGTTTGAAATGCGTTGTAAGTCCTGATTAATAGCTGCAATAGCGGTAGCAATTTCAACCGAGGACGCTTGTGAGTATAACTGAAGATCGTCAGCGTATAGGTGGTAAGAACATTGAAGGTGGGTAGTTAGAAGATTGATAAACAACGAAAACAAGAGAGGAGAGAGAATGCCGCCTTGCGGTACACCTAGATATAGATCGCACCAGTCGGAAAAATCCTGACCAGCCCGAACAGCCTGCTGGCGACCGCGAAGATAAGAGGAAAACCAGTTCAGTACTGACGGGGAGAAGTTTAGGCGTGAGAGTAATCCAAGGAGTAAGTCGTGATCGACACAATTAAATGCGTTTGAAAAGTCAATAAGGACCAGAACAGTCAAACATGACCTCTCCATGCCCTCTCTAAAATCTTCTGTAACTTGAAGTAAAGCTGTGGTGGTACTATGTCCCGGGCGGAAGCCAGATTGATATGTACTAAGGTAGTTGCATTTCGAAATGAAAGAAGTGACTTGTTTGTGTACCAATGATTCAAGGGCTTTGGAAAGAAACGGCAGTATAGAAATAGGTCTAAAATGAGAGGGTAGGGATGGATTGGGTACCTTCGCAAGAGGCAAGATAAAAGCTTTTAGCCATAACTTAGGGAAAATACCAGTAGAGAGGGAGAAATTGATGATGTGAGTGAGAACTGGAGTAACAATATCGAGTATGAGAAGTATCATAGGTCTACTCACCTCATCATATCCGGTTGCGGAAGATTTTATTGAAAGTATGGCTTTTCTAGTATCATCGTCAGTCACTGAACTGAAGTCGAAAGAATTACATGATAACAAAGGCATGGAATTAAGTTCCTGGAGAGTCGTAGCTTTGGTGGTCAAATGCAGACGTGATGCAGAAGAGAAGTGTATATTCAAGTCATTGAGTGAAATATTTGGGATTAGAGAATTGGAATGTGATTTTCCAAATCCCAGGGATTTAAGGAACTTCCATATATCTGCAGAAGAGGAGTTTGAAATACTATTGTGGAAGTAGCGGCGTTCGGCTGTTCTTACCACCTGATTACAGCGGTTTCGTGCTCGCTTATATTGTTGAAAGGTGGAACTGTTCCAATTCTTTTTAAAAATGTGAAAATCTCGATCTCTTCTTCTCATTGCTCTACGCACTTTAGTAATTTCGTTTAGATTAATTTAAAAAAAAAATAAAAACTCCCGAGGAAGCTTTTAAGTCAAAAATATGGATATTGAGATGCTAATAACTTATATCGTACGCAATATTGTTATAAAAGAAAAACCTAGTTTTTCCTTATACCTATGAAAATTAGACTATGTTTACGGGGGTTAAAAAGTTACCGCTTTTTGTATGAAAATTTACTTCTTAACGAATTCTAATGAATATCAACAGCGACGAAGTGGCGAGTGGTAATAGAATTCATCACTAGTTTTCATCGGTTGGGTGTCGTGAAAGGTGACTTTGGGAAATGTCGAAAAATCTAATAGCTCCCAACAGACGGGGGTGTAACCATCTCGTTTACATCTTACTATTTGTACTTAGAATACCGAAACTGACGGCTGGCAGCAGCGTAAAATTACGAGATGTCTTGTTCAGCGATTGCCAATCCTCCTGTTAAGCCTGATGATTAAGGCAAATCCTCCTTAACGCGAGAGGCTCATAAACACATTTCGACGAGCTGATGATGAAGAAGTAGGAAGAGAACTACGACAGCCTTTAAAACATTTCCTCTTGTAGAATAAAAATGACAAACGAGCACATAGTGTATCTGATGGGAAATGGATACTGCAGACTATAAACATCTACATCTACCCTCGATTAAGAATCAAAATTTGATGCGTTGCTATCCCTGAGAACTACGATGGAATGCCTCGTTTCCAGTAAAAAGGGTCTCCGATACTCTACACTCACCATACGAAACACAGCAGAATTGAGATGCTATTTTACGCTGGTATTCTGTGAGAGCGTGATCCTTCCCCGTTCGAGTCTACCCATTGGTGCAACAACCATAATATAGCACAGCATGGCTAAGTACCTTTTTGTATAGTTTTAAAGAAGAGTAAAAATCTAATAAGGTAAATTATTATAATTACCAGAATGTATACCAATCCTTAATTTGAGCTGATCGTGGGGTCGATGCCTGATATGAAATCGCGTAACAGCATCAAGAAGAGCCAAAGCCATGCGTGCTACTTCGCAGGCGTGGCGCATTCCATTTCGCTCTGGTAAACCAGATACCACCATGTAAGCATCTCCTATGGTTTCAACCTTAAAAAATAACATTTGTCGTATAAAGCAGTGTCGTAAGCTATATAATAATATGGTATAATAAAATCTTGTAATTATATCCAGTGGTGCTCGTAAAAGTTAATGTGAGGGAAATAATATACTTTCATCACAACTCAGCTAATCTTTTTAAATTTCATCGCAGAAAAAATAAATATTAGCTCTATATAAATAGAATGAAGGGGAAGACAGTCAGATGAAACTTAAAATTGAATTGTTTATTAGCATCCTAAAAATAAAACGTCGCTGTATTTAATTCGCTTTCTGGAACATTTTATTTATTTATTTATTCTTGATTGTATACCTTAACTAAAAAGATTATAAAGGGCGGACTCAATGCCTTTTGGCTTTTGCTCCCAATCAACCCGGGACATGTTATAATGTGATAGGTGTCAAAAATAAAAGAACTTTATTGAAAAACAAAACATGATATTAAAAAAATACTGTACTTGTTAAAATAGCTATAATATAATTCGTAGAAACCTACACAAGCTTCTTCAATTTATAATTTTTTTTATAAATCTCTATTAATAAATCGTATTTCAAGCATTTTAAATATAATTTTCTAGAAGTCACTATCATCTGCATTTGAAATATTTTAGTATATATACAAAGGCCTTTTTCTATGCCAATTGCAATATTTTATTGTAATAGGTTATTAAAAGACAATATCAAAATCAAGGATAAATTTTAAAACATATATAATTGTCATTTACAAAGCACTTTCTGAAGGTTTAATGAGATATTACATTTTGCGAGAAATAGGCTGCAAGAAACCCAAACAATTTTTTGACATCTTCTAGTCACGTATACTTCAAAACTTAAAATAAAGAATAGTACACTCTACCACCAGTGTATGTTGCCAGAGATGACAGGCGGATTTGAGATGTGGTTTTTACTGCTAGTATGAGGAAGCTGGAGGAACTATAAATAGAAAGCTCCGAGTTTCCCTGCATGTAAAATTTTAAAATGAGTATATCCCCAGTAGAATCAGAGTAAACGTCATAGCCCAACGGATTAGTAAGATGAAGTGGCAGTAGACCAGCCACATAACTCAAAGAACCGAAAACCGATGGGAAAAAGGTGCTATTTAAGTATTTTGAGTTGCAGAATCGTACCGGTAAGCGAAGTTTAGGACTGCTTCCCACTAGATGGAGTGACATCCTGGTAACACATGCTCGATGCCGATAGGTATAGGTTGCTTTGGACCGTGCTCTGTTCTGTAACTTGGGGGAGGTCTATGTTCAGCAGTGGACTTGTGAGGGAACGTAATGATAATGATCACTTTAAGTATATAATGGATGTCGACTTTAAATTTGTTCAAATTATTCGTCCTATTCTATTAAATAGATTTAATAAAAAAAAATTGTTAAAAATAAATAATAAACATTTATATCCTAGGTATGCCACGGAGTCATCAAATTCATGATATAAATACCAGGTAGAATCACTGATAATATACACAATTTACCTTATACACGTCATAATTTTCTACGATGGAGTCGAAGCACGTGTAAAGATCGTTTAATAGATCAACAACTTGCATCGGCGTGGACGAAGCTGAAAGCTCGGTGAAGCCTACTATGTCAGAGAAGTATATGGTGACACTCTCAAACGTCTCGGCAACTACTGAGTGCCCATTTATAAGCTGCGAAGCTACTGACCTGGAAATAACGTCCTTCATAAAAATGGAATCCAAAAATATTTTTACTCAAGTCGTGTGTGTGTTCCGACAACTTTATTCGAGTCAGATAAACTAAGCTACAGTTTTATTAACTGTGCAGGACATATTCGAGTACCGTTCCGATGGACGGTAGTGAATATTAAATTTATGACATTAATTGTCATAACTACTCACAATCTTAAGATCACCGACGGGTAAATATGAGATAGTTGGTATTCTTGCGTCGTTGCTATACAGTTTTTAATAAAACATATCTACATGACCAAACTAGTACGTATTTAATACCAAAAATCCCAATACTTACTTAGGTAACAATTGATAAAGGAGTTCTTCACATTTCTTCTTTTCTTCTAAATAATCTTGTGTTCTTTCACTAACTAATGCTTCTAAATTATTAGCATATTGTTCCATACGGGATAACAAATTATCCAAAATATTACTACTTTCTTGAGATCTGCAAAATTTGTCACAAAAGTTACCGATTACGTACTGGTACTTATAAATAAATATAATAAACAAAAATATTGAAAAAAAAAAAAACAACTTTCCCATTATAATAAACATATAAATTACCATTACAAAACCAGAAACCCAACGGCAGTGTTCTATTTATAAATTAAGAAAAATATGTTTAATAAACACATTATCTTTTTACCGTTACCGTTACACTACACTATGCGTTACCCAGATAATTATTATTAGTTACATATATTGCCTCACTATGGGTAATTTTGCCACAGTTGCCATGCAAGGCAAGCGGGTTGGCAACCGCAGTTTTTAATTTTGAGTCGTTATTAGGAAGACGTTTTCGCTTCACTTCTTTCGACACCCTTGAGATGATGTGGGGCAGTGGATATTCTTACACCGCAACTACACGGTAATGTTTTAAGTTATCATCATCATTCATCATTACAGCCCTTTACAAGTCCACTGCTGAAAATAGGCCTCCCCCAAGGTATGCCACAAAACACGGTCCTGATCCTTAGCCACCTGCATCCATCGACTTCCTGCATGTCTCACCAGGTCGTCACTCCATCTAGTAGGGGTCGCCCTACACTTCATCTACCGGTACGAGGCTGCCACTCGAGAACCTTTTTCCCCCAACATTTGTCGGTTCTTCGAGCTATATGGCCGGCCCATTGCCACTTCAGCTTACTAATCCGTTGGGCTATGTCGGTCACTCTGGTTTTACTGCGGATATCCTCATTTCTAAGTTTATCACGCAGAGAAACTCCGAGCATAGCCCTCTCCATAGCTCGCTGAGCGACATTGAGCGTCATCATACGGCCAGCAGTGAAGGACCACGTCTCGGTTCCATATGTCATCACTGGCAACACGCACTGGTTGTACAACTTAGTTTTCAGGTTTTGAGGTATACCTGACGAGAAGATGTGTCGTAATTTCCCGAACGCTGCCCAGCCGAGTTGAATCCATCGATTGACCTCTCGGTCGAAATTGGACTTACCTAGTCGGACAATTTGTCCCAGGTAAACGTACTAGTCAACAACTTCGAGCTTAGTGCTCCCAACAACTACCGGCATAGGCGTGACATGGACATTAAACATGATCTTTGTTTTGTCCATGTTCATCTTAAGATCTATCCGTTGGGAGGCACTATTGAGGTCATTGAGCATAGTGCTTAAGTCCTCCAGCGATTCTGCCATAAGAACTATATCGTCGGCAAATCGAAGGTGAGTGATGCACTCGCCATTGATTATAATACCGTAGCCTTTTCAGTCCAGTAGCTTGAAAACGTCTTCCAATGCAGCGGTGAAGAGTTTAGGGGAAATAACGTCACCCTGTCTTACACCTCTCTGCAGTTGTATAGTTTTCGTACTCTGGTTCTGTACTCGGATAGCCATCGTAGCCCTACTGTACAAACACTTCAGCACTTCGATATATCGACAGTCAAGTTGGCACCGCTGAAAAGACTGTAGCACCGCCCAAATTTCGACGGAATCAAAGGCTTTCTCATAGTCCACATACGCCAGGCAAAGTGGCAGATTGTACTCTTCGGACTTCTGTACAATTTGCCGAAGGGTATGTATGTGGTCTATGGTACTAAAGCCTTTTCGGAAACCGGCTTGTTCGGGAGGCTGGAAGTCGTCGAGTCTGCGTGCGAGACGATTCGTAATGACTCTCGAAAACAGCTCGTAGACGCGGCTCGGAAGGGATATCGGTCTGTAGTTTTTCAAGAGGGCGTTGTCCGATCGAGGGCGAATCCGATGACTGGTTCAGGCAAAATGCAAAGGCAAAATCCAAAAAATTATGTATTTACTGCCGTCGGGTAAAAATTATAAATCAAGAAGAAAATTAAAATGAATGAGAAGATTGTTATGTAAAGGTACATAAACAAATATATTACTTATTGAGACGTCGGATAGCTCCTTTGAGATGGGCAAAATCTGGCCTTTCGGTTGGATCTTCGGCCCAGCAGCGACCCATGAGCTCAGTCGCTTCGTCAGCTTCACAAGAACGATGGTGTGATGTGTTTGGGCGAATACCGCTTGCGATAACTGATTCGATTATCTCTGTGAAAATGTATTTAATATTAATACAACAATATTTTGAGCAGCCATAAATTATGCTGAAAGTGAGCCTGTCGATAAGGAAGCCATAATCGTCACGCACGAAAGATCGACACGACATTCCTCACTGTCGCCATTTTTATACATCCGTTATCTACGAATGGTTTGCTACCTGGCTTCTAGTACTTTCCAGTATTTTCTAAATCGTCCATCATTTCAAATCCACTGCTGTATTTAGCTTTTCGGCATATTACATATTTTCAAAGTTAGAAGATTTGTCAATTACAACGCTGGGCAGCGAGTAGACTTTCTACAATCGTTAACGCCTATAGACGACTATAAATAGAACGAATGAATTTATATGAACGTACGACCGTAACGTTACGGTCGTAAAAAGTCAGCTTGTGTTATTACCGCACTAGTGAGTGCAGAGGGAATATCCGTGGACCGATGATGATCGTTTTGATTGTGGTTATGATTTACAACCATAATGATGACGATGAAGAGTACTACGATGTTGACTATGATCATAATGATTGCGATGATGAAACAATAATGACGATGATAAAGACATATCTTAACCGCATTTTTATATAGAGTAGGGGTTTCTAACATGCACACAGTTCACCTGGTGGTGAATGGATGGACTCTGAGGATTTAGATGGACTTTAGGTCACCTAACTGTAATGGAAGAGTAGGGCTGACTAAGTAACAAACAAAATATGCAAAAATGAAAGCCTTTAAGTTTATAATTCTATGTCGCGAATTTTACATGACTCGAGATAAAAATGCACTTTGATTACATGCAGTTTTATTTAAACCACTGTTTTATCCTATACCTTTTAAACGAGCAATTCTTATATAAATATATATATATATATATATATATATATATATATATATATATATATATATATATATATATATATATAATCGGAATTTCGGAAACAGCTCCAACGATTTTCATAAAATCATCAGTTTGTAAATTGTAAACCAAATATATTTCCAAAAAACACGATTTCCCAAAAAATTCGGTCATCCAGGTACTATATATAATTGAATATGCGAAATAACCCAATAGTAATCTAACTATATGTTGCATTTTTATTATAAAATTATTTTCCTTACCTTTCGGCGCCATATCGATATCCGGTCCCAACCAAAAAGCTCCTTGTCTGTTAACTATCTCATGCATTATAATACCAAAAGAGTATACATCGCCTTTCTGTGTGCCTTCTGGTGGCAGTTCAGACATCCGAAGTAATTCCGGGGCGGTCCAAAGTAAACCTAAGTAACATTTGTACTAAATTAGAAACTTTTACAAACATAGAATATAGGTACCTACGCAAAGTTTAAGCGGATTCGGACGCTTTTCACGAAACAAAAAACTAAGTAAGAATTGCACTGGTACTGTAAATAAGTATGTAATTAGTATTTAAAAATTAAAAGTGTTTACAAGTGTTATTTATTTAAATTATTATTATTAACAAGAGTTTGTCGATTTGTTTCAATTATGAGCAAGGCTGCAGTTCGTTTGGGGAAGGACCACGCTAGCTCATATTAAGACCGCTACAGCTGTATTATGACGTGTTTTTTATTAGTTTTATACGACTACTTTTTATCCGTATGTATCCGGTTTTGTCCGTATAGAACTAAAACAAATTAAAAAACCTGCGATCTTCTATAATAATGCTCGTTGGACTACTTTAATTTTCTTTCCTGTTAACTTGAAAACGTGAAATATGGGAAAATTTTTCGTTAAAAATTGAGGATAACATATTAATGTCACGTAAAGAGGTCTTCCTAGAATTCTATTATTCATAGTTGATTTCCTAAAATCATAAAATACTATAGTGTCAGATATTACTATCAAAATGATTACAGTATAAGGATAATTTCTTGGCAACGTTTTAACTTTTAAAGCTCATATTTTGTTGTAAAATAAATGTTATTAAATGATTTAAACATAAAGTGTTAGGACCTTTTTTATGTAAAATTGAAAACCAAAACGTTTTTGATTGAAACATCTTCAAATTCTCTAAATTTATGAGAAAATAATTAAAAAACGTTTATTTTATCAGTTTTAGAGCACTCCTGATGTGGCTTTCAATCTGTTCGTGAAGTTTTCTTTTTTTTATAAGATAGGGTGACATAGTTTGTCACCCTATTACACAGCATACAGTCCACCTGATGGTAAGTGGTTGCTGCGGCCCATAGACATCTACATCTTTCCCTGATTACAAATCAAAATGCAGATGCGTTGTCACCAGTGAGGACTAATATCGAATGCCCCATTTCCAGTAAAAAGGGTCACCGGTTCTCTACACTTACTCACCATACGAAACACAGCAGTATTAAGCTGCTATTTAACTCTGGTATTCTGTGAGAGCGCGGTCCTTTCCCGGTCGAGCCGACCCATTCGCGCTACAACTCTACCACGTAAATAATTAAATCAATATCAAAACCGATTAAGCCATTTCTAAGATGACAGACAGAGAGGCACGTAAAAATTAAAAAAAAAACAGTTTTTCATTTCTTAATAGCTTTCAAATAAAACCCAGAGCTTAATTGGGCTTCTATTAGGCTATGTTTTATTATTTATTTATTTACGTATCACTAACAGACACTATCATTTTATTTATTTGTATACATGCATAATAAGGTGCCGTTTCAGGCCTCAGTCTTCAGCGACACATAACCATCCACTGCAGGACGAGACCAAGTCTATGTTTCCGGTGGAGGAGAATTTGCCCTATTCGTCACGCTTGATACCAGTTACCTTACATTGAAATAGTCAGTTTTTGTGTAATGGCAGTGGGTAGTATTGATTTACTTAAATTTTTTAAAACATTACTTACGAGTCCAATAGCTATGAGCTTTATGATCTTTTTCCGCCGTTCGCAATGCATGTAGTCCAAAGTCGGTAATTTTCAATACGAATCTCGAATCCACAACACAATTACTCGATTTTAATGCACCGTGCGACTTTATATCGGTTCCGTGCAGATAATGCATACCCTGTAGAATAAAACGTATAAAATAAATAAATCACGAAAATGTTAATGTAGTCAGGCATAATTTCAAAATTCTATTATTCGTAGTTGATTTTCCAAAATCTTAAAATATTAAAGTGTCAGAAATTACTATCAAAATGATTAAAGGAAAAAGAAAATTTCTTCGCAACGACATCACGTTAAAAATCATGAAACACAGTTAGCAGCTGGACCTAAATAGGTTTTTTAATAGAATAAGGAGCAAACAGTCCACCTGATGGTAAGTGGATGCTGTGGCCCATAGACATCTACATTTGTGCTTGATTAAGAATCAAAACGCAGATACGTTGACACCCCTGAGGGCTAAGATAAAAGGGTATCCAGATCTCTACACTACCCGTACAAAACACAACAGATTAATCTACTAAGCTATTTTACGCTGGTATTCTGTGAGAGCGTGGTCCTTTCTCGGTCGAGCCGATCCATGTATGCTACAACCATAATATAGCTTCAGCGTGGCTCTAACACGCATATAAAATAGATGAAATATGCAAACCGACCAAGGCAGCTTCCTTGCAATATAAACTTTTTACTCGTATTAAAGGAGTTACTAAGACGGAATAAGAAATAGAATCTAGACAACGATTAAGTGTCTAAGAATGAATGATCAAGTTAGTCGCTTGTGCCTGACTATATAATGCTCGTACGTATCACCACGAGGCGATTATACGTAAGCATTTCTTACTGTAACAAAAATTGGGATGGATATTCGAATAAAAGGCTTTATGTTATATAATCATAAGACAATACATAAAGATACGGTCGGATAGCACGATTATGTTGCTACAAACAAAATTCTATTACATATCCCTACTAAGCATATCTATAAAATATGGTTACATAAAAATGAACATACCCGAACAATATCGTGCATTAAACTGACTTTGAACATCCAATCAAGTTTTATAGTGTCATTTTCCAAAATATCTTGCAATGATCCCTTCGGACAGTACTCCGTAAGGAGACAGCAGTGCGGAGGGTCCACACAAGCCCCGTAAAATCTCGCTAAATGATCGTGTTCCAAATCTTTCATCTTCTTGAGCTCAAGTAACAAGGGTCGTGTTAAATCTATCCGCTGTTTATCGACATTCTTTATTGCAACTCGACAGCCTTTGTAAAAGCCGCATGGAGCGTAAACTTGACGATCGCCTGCCAATGATGTCGCTTCATCGGAATACGCCGTCTAAAATATACAAAATTAGTTTATACTATGTACGGTAACTTCTATTTTACACGAAAACAAATTTTTTGATAATTTTAAGTCTATGCAATCTAATTCCTTATTAATTAAATAGGATTACGTTCCTAAGGAATTATTAATCGTTAAAAGGATAGAATAAGTCAGCTCAAATTCTAATTTCGCCCCCACTTCCCCGCGCGTCGTATGCTATGTACCGATATGTTTGTAATCACTAATACTGTAAGTAGAAAGGTCGTTAGACACTTATTTCATTAGGTTTATCATATTTATGCCTGTTTCTTAACGCCAAGCCAGCCGCTTCTAATTTTTATCACGGTTATTTCCCATTTTAATTTTACGTCGTACTGTTGCGTAATGTATATTCTGATTGTAAGCGACACAACTTCTCCCTTCAAAAGCCTAAGCGATACTAACGGGGCGACTGGAATCAAGCTCAAGACGCCGATAGTTTAGGTAATTTCTTTTTTACGGTGAAAATAATGGTATTTTAAAAAAAGTAGTATAACATAAGCACTGCTTTATAGTTAGTTCAGTTAGTATGCAAAGTTTCATGATCTTATTTAAAGTATTTTATGAATAACAGCGGTTTATTGTTTATTTTGGAGGTAACTTTGAAGATTTTTTTTATCGAGAAAATTTTACGAAATCGTGTTTTCGTCTAACATAATCATTAACATTAATCCTCAACTTTACCATATATTTATTTCAAAATTAATGCTGCAATATTTTCGGCATAACGAAGGATCTTGCTAAGCCATTTGACATTATATTTCCCCTTAAGCTTAAGTATTACAAATTAAAAAAATTACAAATATCAATGGACCGGCCTTGTAGCTCGAAGAACCGACAACCAATGGGGAAAACAGGTTATCTAGTGGCAGCCTCGTACTGGTATGCGAAGTGAAGAGTAACCACCCACTAAATGGAGTAACGACCTGGTAAGGCATGGTGGAAGTCGATGTGTGCAGGTGGCTCAGTACCATGCTTTGTGGCATTCCTTGGAGGAGGCCTACGTTCAGCAGTGGACTTGTGAAGGGCTGTAATGATGATGATGATGATGAACTGGGTGATTTAAGCTTTATCTTTTGAAATGTTTGATATATCAAGTGCTGGGGATAAAAGAAAACGTTTTGAACAAACTTCTAAGGTATAGGATATATCTCTTTATCTATACATATGTAGGTGTATAATAGTTGTCTTTTATTAAGCTTAGGCCTATAACCATATTACATTAATAACGTGGAAATAACCATTTTTAAATTTTTGTCTGCCTGTTTGTATATTTATCTGTGTGTCTGTCTGTCACCTTCTGAAACTTAACTATAACAATACATGACTATACGAATTATCCGAAAAACATAAAGGATTTTTATGTGATTTCGAAATTTGTTTAAATAAATAGTTTTTGATGATTACCTTTCAAACTTTATGGAATATAAAATAGTTTCAAACAAAAATATGTAAATTATCATTTCTACACAAAAACGTCCTCACACTATCTTCGGACTTCTAAAGTTTTGATGCAAAACTGAATTGTCGGCCTTTTCTAATATTTAATTTATTCAACACCATTTTACATCAAAGCTTTACAGAATAAGGAGCTAAGACTTTTTTACTTAAAATCTATTGATCTTTACTATACTATATATAGATTTCGAGATCATAACAGAAGAGTTATTCGATAATAATTGAACAACTTGACAAAAGATTAATTAAATTATAATTAAAAATTTCTAAATATTTTTTTAATTCTGTGGATGCAGTCGCAGGTAAAAGCTATTTTATAAGCTTATATATATTACAAATAGTAGTTTGTGCGTCTGTTAGTATGTAACTTCTGGACGACTCGACCAATTCAGGTCATATTTATAAAATATATTTATTTTGCCTAATCATAGCTACAATGAGATTTTATTGTTGGCGCTGTGATCGAGATATTGAAAAATTTAATGATTACAACGTAAAAAAGTTCGAGGTGAATTAGAAGTTAAGCCCATTGTGGTGGATACTAGCAATACGACCAGCTAGCCTGTTATTTTACTCTGAACCTGGTATATTAGTAATGCATGATAATGCGATCATAACTGCTACTAGAGCAATCGTGGTGAGTATCGCCATCTTGTAAATGGCGCTAAGACTTTTTTATACTATATCCAACCGAGACTAAAAGGTCAAAAAGGAAAATAAAAGTATATACAAGGTCTTAAATAATCTGGTAACATTATATTATGTTTGAAGTTTTACATTCCATTAAATTTAAGAAATTTTCCACTGACTCAGCGAGCGTAAGTAAAGACTTAATTAAGAGTTAACTAGCAAATAACGCCGTTAAGCATCATGTGAGTCCTCAGTACCGTTGTTATTATACGATAGGAAGCTTAAACTAATAAATAAAAATTAACATGATTTATTGTTATTAAATCGTTATGCTATAATTTATTAATGTTAGTATAATATCTTTCCGTGACCAGTGACATAATTTCAACCTTATATAAAGATCCTTTTACAGACTTTCTTACCGATATACGAAGGGATAATTTATTCTACGAATAGCTTCTCCTTTAGATGAAAGCTTAAAGGAATAGGCTTTTGGGTTACAAATACGCTGAATTTCGTAGTAAATCGAAATATATATATATATATATATATATATATATATATATATATATATATATATATATATGTATGTATAATTCAAAAATTAAGTACATAAACCGGGTACGATGCGAGCTATCAGTTTTCGTCGCTGTGTGTAATGTTGGGCACAGGATTCTCATGCTCTCATTTTAGAGAAATAGGGAGGAATCAAACAGCTGCGGTGATTTGGTCTTCTTCCTTTTCTTCGTCTTGGACTTGAGATGACCTTGAAATATTTTATTCCTCAGACATGCGGGCTTTCTCACATTTTACATTACATTTTCTTCTACCCCCTAGAAGTAGTAAATCAGCTCTAAAAATTGTATTGAGCAATTTCTTAGTGCCAGTGAGTATGAGAAACAAATCAGGAGATGGGCAGCAACGTCTCCCTAATAATGACTTAAAAAAGAAAAAACCACAGTTGCCAAAACGGTTGTCAAGCGTGGCCACTGTAGTAAATATCCCCCCTGCCCAATCTATGTGGGAGGTCGATGTTCTGCAGTGAACTTTAATAGGCTGTAACGGAATAACGGAACTCGGGTTGCTCACGTATTGTGGAATTTATTTACAGAGCATTGCCCCAGAGCTATAGTTATTCAAGCATTGTATAGGTTGCTTTAAAAACTCACCCCCGAGCTGTACCTTCGTGCAAGTGAGTGCATGCTGCCTCGAAGTCGACCACCGGGCAGCAGAACGTCACTCCAACTAACTCGCCATGTCATCATAGCTATTTCCGCTTCCAGCTTATAATGCCTGTTACAAGTACAAAAAAGACGGGATAAAATTACACTAATATTTTTTTCTACTTCTATTTAAATTTTAGATATCGTTATCTTTTTATAATATACTGTCTATGAAATAATTTTTCCAAAAAACCTTTATATCTTCGTTTTAAAGTTCTTCATTTTAATTGTTGCATATTTTATTTTATTCTATTGTCATTTTATTTGTGTGAACTAGAGTAGCTCCGGAGTTAATAGACCAATAAAGGTAGTGTTTTGATTTGATTGAATGTGATTAAATGGAATAAACGTTTATTATTCTCACGCGTTTGTTCCTTTTTTTCAGACGAGTACAAAAGTTTAATATTTTTGTAAATTCAGACTCATGTACAAAATTATTTTTTTATTTGCGTTTCTACTGCGTATTGACGGCATACGGTAATCTATTATCAATTTTTATAATACATGAGTATCGTTAGAGGAGACTATGATAAATATTGAAAAGATCCTAGAATCCTAGATGGTGGTGTAACTGTTAGCGATAGATCGTCGACGTATTTGGCATTAACCAAACCAAAGAGTGCATATTCAACTTGGTTTTGCAGGCGTTTAAATTAAAACTCCGCGACGTCGTCTATGGCTCGACATAGCCGGCATACTTAGGCTGTAGACTAATGTATTAAGTCGCCTATTACTAAGGCGGCTCCCATTTTAATTCGAACTTCTCTTCAAACTTCTACAAGCTTACCTGAATAGAGTTAAATATAAAGTCGTACTCACTATTCAGGGATCAAATAATAATATATTAATTTATTTTAATGTACGATTTTATCAATACTCAATTTAAACACTAAATTTCAAATTTGCGCAGTAATGTTATTTGAACGAACAAAATATGAACAAATAATAACCGACCATGTTCTTGCGTCGGTCGTCGCGTTGCTAATCGAAAGGATCGTTATGGAGTTTCAATTTAGCCGTTTACGGATTCGACTAATCCATCCATTTTTCGTAAACGATCTACTCGTTCACAGTACGTCGACGGTCGAATTAACTAGTTCATTCATTCAACGCCCATCGCTAATAACAGTATCATGTACGCCAGATGTAAAATATCTACTAAATGGCGATTGTGGCGGGCGATTATGGTCTACTATTAAATATTGAAGGACAAGAGAAAAAGAAATGTGTGGAGAATAAAGTTATAAATTAATTAAAAAATTAACACAATAATAACTTTAATTATAATTCTTATAAGTGTATTATTACGACAAGAAATCGTATGATAGTTTCAAAAAAGTATCTCGTATCAATGATAAATGTGAACGAAGAAGTTGGAGATAGTGAAATCGAACTAGTGACAAACTTTGTCTCATTTATTTGATAAAAATTTATCTCTTTCTAGAAGAAAGAACTGAATTTTCTAGGACAACTTTTCAGTTCACTTCTCCATACTTACGAATTTATTGAATAATATTTGACTACCGCAAAATCAGAGCAAAGGTTTTACAGTCTCTGTAATATTCTATGAGATTCTGTACGACTTTGGTACTATAATTGGCAAATTGTAATAATAAATAGCTAGAATCAGTTTTATGAAAAGTTTTAATAGAAAAACGTTTTTACCTGTAAATGAATACTGATAAAACCGCCAAGATGACTACAACGGAGCTCAGCACTATACTCAATATAGCGTATACGGGTAAAGCTGAAACAAATAAATCTATTCAAATATATTCCGATTAAATAACCATGTCCGCTGCAGGTGTCCATGGACTATATTAGTTATCAAGTGTAGCTAAAAAATAAGGTGATCTCTACCACGCTGCTTCTTAATGTTTTCATACCAAATTTATAAAATATTATTTCGTAAATTGTGCTAGGACACAGTTTTTTTTTTTCAAACTGGTGGTAAAAATAAAAAATTACTTTGAACGAGTGTTATAGTACGTGAGGGTAATATGGCTATCCGGTTAATATGGTCACTTTCTTATAACTCAAAAACTACAGCCTTGTTTTCATAGATGGCTTTGTGATACGATAGCTCTTCATCGGTCAATCAAATAATAAAGGGTCAAAAGGGCGCCATTTTGACAGTTGACATTATAGTAACTATTTTAGTCGATTTTAGTATGGTGTAGTGTAGTTAGTTCTTTTTAAGTTGACTTTTCGAAGTGTTCCTAACATTGATAAAGCCTTTTTGTTTATTTTTTCTTAATACATAAGTTAAAATATACGGCTTTGAGTTTTTGTCTCCCTCCTTTTGGTTTTATAGGGCGGCCAAGCTTAAGGTGACGACATTACGAGTACCCTCACGTACCTTACATATAATCTATATTGAATGAAAATGATTCTATTCTATTCTATTCTACTTACAATCAGGTCGATTGAAAGTTTGTTTGTTACTTCAGCTTTATGTAAAATAAATTATTTGCCATACGGTGTCGGAGTAAGCATATCCATCACACAATTCCGTTCCGTGGATGTCATTAGAGGAATGAAAAATCCCAGAAAAACTTATGGCTAGCCAAAGCTGACGGTATAATCATAAAATATCCAGGCAAGTGACGAGGAGCAGCGTCAACGGTGCGAGATGTCTGCTGGCATGCCAAGTGAAGCATCTCTAACGAAAGAGGCTAACTATGAAGAATACCTAGACTTATTATGATGCTTCGTACAGTTAGACCCTCTTCGTGTCGATTGTTCTTGTACAGAGGTAAGAACTTGTTATAATATATTTGAAGCTGACCGCAGATGTACATGGTTTAAAGTAGTCACTTGCCTATTAGTTAAATACAGATGGACACACTACTATTATATTCATTTTTCAACCGCATTCAAAAAAGGAGGAGTTTCTCTATCCCACTGTTTTTTTTATGTTAAATTTTATTTGTGTACCGTTTATAGTTTCCGTTAGATAATATCTTATAATTTTTCATCTAAATTCTTCTGAACCGATTTAAAACCTAAATAAATCTTTTATACTTTTACTGTCTAAAAGTTACCGAAAACTTCGTTAGCTTAGAAGTATTTTAAGAAATCACTGAACTTTAATAGAATATAATAGAAGTCTTTCCACTCACACTTATCAGGGCAAAGGGAGCCGTCGAAACCACACTCGGGGGTATCGGGTGGCGGTGTGTGTCGTCCCCCAGCCCAGTAAATTGGCCGATTAGCGATGAACTGTAGAGATGAGTTTGCCGCTATGTATGTCGCCACGACCTGCAAAAATTTGTCTCTTAAAAAGTCTTATAATATCGCGCTTCGCTTCGCGCGAATCGATAGACATATTTGCATATCTTTTCCAAATAGAGAAAGTACATAAAATATATACCTCCTTTCTTTAAAAAAAAAGTTATTCCCGCAGTAAGATTTTCTACTATATCGCGTAGGCTGTTTATATAGGTACATAAAATGCATAAGGACACATCCAGACCCGTAACAATTACTTGTAGGCCATAATAAATTGCGCCCTCCTTTCTGCGAAGGAGGGTCGCGTTCGTATACGGCTTAGAGATCTCTAGTCAGATCGTTAAGCCAGTTCCTAAAAGGTTGGGTTTAGTGGGTAAAAGTCACCACATAACCACGCAGCCGGCTTGCGTGGTGTACTATGAGCATTCACAACCTCCCTCCCCCGCTTTCCGGAGGGTTGCCCATATTTGCTTCGGGCGCAAAAAAAAAGCCATAATAAACTCCCTGTAGTGACGCGTAAGAATATCCACTTCCCATATCTTCCCGTGGGTGTCGTAAGAGGCGACATAGTGAAACAAATCAGGAGATGGGCAAAAGTGTCTTTCTAATAACGACTAAAAATAAAAAATAAAAACATTTCCAGCCCACTTGCCAAGCGTTGCAACTTTGGCGACTACCCTCCCTATGAGGCAATCTATGCGGGAGGCCTATGTACAGCAGGAGATTTGAATTTCTGTGAGGATAACGGTAACACGGCATAATCAAAAGTATAATATGGATAAAGCACGAATGGGTCGGGTCGATTCAAAGATGGAACACGCTCATCAGAATAACAGCATAAAGGCAGCATAAGGCTGTTATATGTTAAGGTGTTACGTATTTACTGGTAGCGAGGTACTTATTTTTCAGGTAAACTTATTTTTTAGGGGATGTTAACGCATCTGCATTTAAATTCTTAAGCAAACGTGACGTAAATGATAGATTCTCTACATGGGGGACTGTTAGTTCGTTAGCGATATTTATAGAAAAACGTTTATGTTATCTTAATAATTTAGAGTTTTTGATGAGGTAATATTTATGTCATCAAAAAGTCTAAAAGTTATAATGGTGTAACACGTTTGAATAGACGGATTAAATTAATTATAAGGTTTTCTTATTTGACAGAGGTACCCTAAACACGAGTACGAAAGCGGTAGTAAAAAACGTATTACTCGTCATTTCAAATAATCGTGCACCTGTGACAATAAAAAATAAATAGGAGTTATAATTAGATACTAATGTAATTTCCGTCTCTATAATAGAGCAAAAATTCATAAAAACAATAGTAAAATATTAGTTTTTTGTTTGTACTCATACCCTTGACTCGTTGTAGTTCAACAACTAAGCTCGACTTAACATTTCATAATACGCAAGCGAACCGAGTTCGATCTCTGCCTGAAACTGTTTGCTGAACGTATCCCCCCCCCCCATAGACACATAGGAGGGATATTTGCGATAATTGCCAAGCTTGGCAGGTGGGTTGCCAATCGCAGTTTTCTATTTTCATTTTTTATTAGGAAGACGATGCTGCCCATCTCCTATTTCAGTGTCTTTTGCTTTTTACGACACCCACGGGATGATTTTGAATAGTGAATACTCTTACGGATCAAGGATTTACGTATCGGATTACGTGCTTGGCGGTAATTTTTTTTTAGATCATCGACTTTAACTTCCCAGTGGAAACTTATTGTAATGAGTCCGATTTTGCAAATTGGAAATTTTAACATATCTCCCGTGTCAAGTTCTTTAGAGTCGAATAGTACGGTTTTTAAGAGGAAGTCCGTGAGTGCACATGTTCGTATGTATGTACATATGTACGTATGCATGTATATTCGGATTCAATTTTCGCTTTGATTATCTCGGGAACAAAGAGTGATATTGACATGGGATCAGTTTCATTTAACGCATAATTATGTAACTTAGACCTTATAAAATTTTGAGCCGAATGAAAAATTGTATAACATACTAAATTATATGATATTATTTTATTCTTTCCACTGGGAAGTTAATCGTGTGGACCTTTCGAGTCGCACCGAGACCGCTTTTTTATAGATTTATAGCGGACTTTTCCCTACCTCAAAAACTAAGTAAACGGTAAAAGTTTGGTACCCACCCACCCAGAAGGTTCTCTATACAAAAACGGAGTTCTGGCACCTAGTAATTTAGTACTATAACTGTTAAGTCGCCAGCTAACTGTGATAAACTTATAAACACAACACAACAATAACTGATCATATCAATATAAAAAATTTCAATTGAACCAGTATTATCAATGAACACGCTTATTATGTGATCTTTTTAATAAGAGAATTAAATAGAAATCTAGGGGTATCCACTCTTGGTGGCCAGGACGATATATTGATGAATTATAGTTGCGGCACGTATGGGTAGGCTCGACCGGGGAAAGACAACGCTCTCACGTGATACCTGCGTAAAATAGCAGCCCAATGCTGCTGGGTTTCGTATGGTGAGTGTATGGAAACCTTTTTTACTGGAAACACGGCATTCTATCTCAGTTCTCACGAGTGATAAAGCACCTGTATTTTGATTTTTAATCGCGGATAAATGTAGATGTATATGGGCCACAGCATCCACTTATCATCAGGTGGACTGTGTGCTTGTTTGTCCCTCTTATCCTATCCTATAAATATCCTATAAATAAAAATATTAATGTCGCCTTTCAACCTTTATATATTTAAAGTATATAAAGGCTGAAAGGCGACATTAATATTTTTATTTATAGGATAAGAGGGACAAACAAGCACACAGTCCACCTGATGATATATATATACGTTAGCAAAATTTAATTTAATAGAATGACATGAACTTAGATATGGGGTTTTCAAAGTGAGAGGTGCGCCTTGAGGCCCCTCAAAGACCCGCTCAAGAGGGTAGCAGTGCCTGTCATCCGTATGGTAAGAAGGTTCGTGGACCAAATACAACGACTTAAAATTCATTTAACTACATCAGGGCGAACGCAGATTAACTTAATTAGTTAATCTATTAGACTTCTCACCCTTATAATTAATTGTTCTATTGTAATTTTGCCGTAGGTAGATAATGAAAATGGCAAAAGATGAAGGAAGCCTTCACCTGCAAATGGGAACCCAAATAATTTAACAATAGCATGCTTAGTAAAAAAGTAATAATTTGAATATTATTTTATGTTACCTAATCTCCTGTAAATTGATTTATTGTTGTAATAATTCTTAATTGTTATTATGTAATTGATAATATGTTATTTTGATAACATATTACAACTAACCATTATATATTTTATTAATGTTATTAACTTATTTAAATTGCTTCATTGTGTAATCTCATTTTATAATTTTATATTCGATAATTAAAAAATCTAGTTAATTGATATTTTATTTGTAATGATATTATTTAACTCGAATTATTATGCATAATTAATACAATGTAATCTAAGTTCCAGCTAATTTTATATCTAAATGTTTGTCGTATAAACCAGGGTTTCTCAGTTTCGAAAATTAAATTTTTGTAATATTTTAATTTTATGTAATTCTATTTTGGGAAATTAAGGCTGATATATATAAATTATAATTTTAAAATAAAAGTAATTTGAAACCATATTAGGTAAACTTATAAAGAACTACTCATGCCGAGTTCGTCCACCAAGCAGTATAGCATTCGCATTGTTTTATTCCGGTGAAAGGTGAAATTAAGTTTACAAGAGACATTCAATATATACTTAAGGTGTCGGGTGTTATGAAATACGACTTGGGTCTTCCCTTACTAAATTAGGGGAAGACCTTAGTTGTACTGCTGTTGTAATATACAGAGGATAGCGTTTTATATTAGATGGATGGCGTTCCATCACTTACTTAGGTTAGGTGTGAAAGAAGCGAATGAGGTGTGTTAGGTTTGTACCAAATGGAAGTCCGTACTCTCTGCCTACTTCACTGTGTAACAGTCGTGAGTGCTTATAAAACATATCACCAATCTACATAGTTACCTGTCCTGGCATAATGTTTACTTGATAGTGCTCAAAAATGCTAAATGCACGATAATAAGGTCCTGAATAAGCCATAGTAATTTAAGAAATTTTATCATAATTAAACTGCGAATTATCTATTTACGCTTATATTCGATTTTTTTAAATTCTTATTTGGCCCTACGTCAAAACACTCACTTAAGTCGGATGGGGACAGTTAGCGTATTTACTAGCTTACTACGCTTCTTATTATAGTTTTTGTAACATCAATGTAAATATTATTATGTTAAAATATAAAAATTAACTACTATTTTGAATCTAAACAGATATATCATCCAGAATCCAAAACAAATCTATTTTAAACAACGTTCACTTCATATCGTTTTAGATCAATCCCGACAGTATGATGCTATCGCAATATAAATAATTCAAAATGTATTTATATCCCAAACAATAAATATTCGAAACATTTTATTGGCCTTGAATTGCAAACATGATGTATGGTACAGCTGAGCTTATGCAAATTGAATTTTCAAATCAATGGCATTAAATGTTACCATTTTAAGACAGTGGTACTGTATTGGTTTTGGATTAACGCCAATGTTACATTTGCGCACATATTATAAAAAAGATGTTAATCTAGACACACATCACAGTGTCAGCTAAGTTCGGAATAGAAAAGGGCGACGAACCGTGAGTTCTCGGTTTTCCGGATATAAATTTATACAAACAATTTCATGGTATTCTTGATTCTCATATAACTCAAAAGCTATTAGACCTGCACACTGTCTATTCCTAGTTTATTTTTTATTTTTTTTTATAATTATTATTTAAGTAAATAAGTATTTTATTAACGAAAATATTTTCATTAGTTCAATTCAATCAATAGAGTACTACCGTTTTAAATAGTTACATTTTAATGGCATAGTTTTTAAATTTACTTTGAAATCATGTGTGTAGTGGTGTGAGTCGAATAGCTTTTGAGTTAGGGGAGAATCACGAATACCTTGAAATTGTTAAAAGGGCGGCGAAC